CACAACTTTTAAGATTTTCATCTAATTTCCTCTAGACATTTTTCCATCACAGGTTTTGTGGATGGTTGTTAGGATTTCTGTTTAAGAATCTTAATCGTGTCATATATATAATCTTGTGCCCTGATTTTCTTCCACTTAACACCATTATAAACATTTTAATACATTTTCTTCATTAACATTTTAATGGCTATGTATCACCCAGTGGATGAATCATAACTTAACCATTCTGCAAATGCACCCTTAAAGATAATTCTACCATACACATTTTTAGTATGTAAAGCTTCTTTCTGTATTTAAAAATGCTCCTTTGATGGTTCCTAGGGGTCGCTACATCAAAGAATATGAGTACTTTTAGGGCTCTTGATACATACAGCCAATGTAACATAAGAGTATGGCACTGTTACCATGCCCTCGTAAGTACTAGGTACTATACTTTTTAGTCTACATTTAGGCCTTTATTAAATTGATGTGAGAAATTTTAACAACTTTGTTACAAAAGTAATGCTCATTGTTAAAAAAAAAAAAAAACTAAAAATAAACCAAAAATGATGAAAAAAGCATGTGAACGAAAAAAATCAGCCTCCCCTATGCTGTTCCCTCGGTAGTCACGTTTTCCATGTCCTTCTAGGCCTTTTCCAAATTTTATTCAGAACACACGCACGTGTGCGCATTTGAGCTATATCTTACAAAAAAATGAAATTAAACTTGTTTTGGTTCAATAATATATTCTAGACAGCCATCCAGGCTACGTGCATACATACAAATCTACCTTTCTTTGTTAAGAACTACGTAACATTCCACATGGTATAGTGGTACCAAAATTTATTCATGGTTATCTTCAATTTTTCCTCTCATCAGTGATGTTGTAATAGACTTTGCTCACACTATGTCCTCTTATGAAAATATCATATTCCTTGAAGTGTGTACCTGCTAGATCAAAGCATGTGTGTAGTTTTTAAAAATTTTTTGATAGGTTCTGCTAAATTATCATCAGAAAAGGTCAAACCAATTTTGTTTCCAACAATGTATTAGGTGGCTTTTTCTCTACATCCTTGGATATAGCTTAAATTTTTGCCTGATAGCCCCCCCCACTCCTGAAAAAAAAATCTAGTGTTTTCATTTCCATTTCCCTAATCATAAGTAAGGCTGAATTCCTCTTCACTGCTCTGACATTTCCATTTCTCTGAGAACTATTCATATCCTCCATTCATTTCTTGTCAATTGTATTATTTGATTGTGAGATTACACAGCTTTCCAAATGTTTAATAAATTACATTTCTATCCAGTGAACTGTCTACCACATCCTATAACCACTTGTGTGTGGCTTTTCATAATTTTCTTCACTGATTTGTATGCGTTCTTGACATATTGAAGATATTAACTCTTCATTTATGTTTGTCAGAAATCTTTTCCTACTTTGTGGTTTGGCTTTTTTTTTTTTTTTTAAGCTGAGCCATCCTGCTACCTGTTGGCAGCTCAGCGGCTGGGCATCGAACCACTGTTGCTCAGAGCTCAAACTCTTGAGCGAGCTCTTAACCAACTGAGCCACTCGGCCGGCCCCTAGTTTGGCTTTTAATCCTACGGGTCTGTTACCTTTCTTCTTAAAGAACTTTTCAATTTTTATGCAGTCTAATACAGATTTTAACTAATAACAGATTTGAGTGCCCTGTATGCCAGGACCTGTATCTCTTTCCTGCACAACACCTGTATGGTGGGTATATTTTCCTCACTTAAAAGATTCCAGTTTGGGGATGTACGATTGCAAACTCTGTGCTTTGTTCACCTCAGCAGAAAGAACTTTTTTTCCAGGATGTTTAATATTAATTTCATGTTTTCTTTATGGTTTTGGGGGGGGCATTCTTGATGATTTATCATTTATTACATTCCCATAGTTTATTTTTGAGGTGCAGAATAGGTTCCAGTGACCTGTGGTACAGATACTCTAAAGCCAGTATGACATCATTTTAAATGAACATGCTTCTAAGTTTAACTGTCCCACCTCATTACTCATAATTATTCTGTCCAGTTCACCCCAAAATGGGCATCTCTATAATGTTTAAACATCGCATCCAGGAATATGGCCTGTCTTTCCATTTAGGACAGTCTTTCCAATCTTTCAAGGTATTTTATGGCCTCCTTAATGTAGGTTAACACTTGTCTTGATAAGGCTATACTTAGATGTTTGATGTTTTTGGGTACATTGTAATCAGAGCCTGTTGTTTTTTGTTTTTTCCCCATTTTACTTTCTGCCAGGTTATTTTTGGTATTCAGAAAGCTACCAATTTTACACATGCATTATGTATTCCAGCCATTTCCTCATTTTTGTGTTTTTGTTATTCTCCTTTTTGTAGCCAATAGGATCTACAAACACTCCCCTTCTTTTTATTTTAGATCCTTACCTCACTCTTATTTCACATTACTGTTTTAACAAAACTTACAAAAGCCATGTTAAATAATAACCCAACTTTTAATTTAACGCATGCTTTTCTGTTAAGTTATATTGTGGACAATTAGTTTAACATTTATGTGTACTTTACACATTTAAAAACTGCTATTTTATTCCCACTTTTGAAAAATAAGAAATGAGAATTTTTTTAATCTAATATCTACTTTGACCTTAGTTTAGTTGGTAGTTTGAATTTCAATGTAAACTCCAAGGAAAAGACCACCTCTCTTCTAGGTGGACCTCTGAAATGGCCTTGTCTCCCCACTTCCACTCTCCACCCCCACAACACCCCCACATTCTGCATGTAGCAGCTGGAGTGGTTGTTTAAAAATGCAAATCTGATTATGTCATTCCCCTGCTTAAAACCCAACCCTCATAATGGTTTCTCATTTCACTCAGGATAAAATAAAAACATCCTCAACCTGCCCTACAAGACCCTACATGATTTGGCCCCCTGCCTAGCCATGCTTGTCCTTCACCCACCATAATCTAGCTGCAAGTCATTCTTTCAGTTCCTGGAATCGGCAAAACATTTTACCCCTTTAGGACTTTCCCACATGGCGTTCCCCTGCCTGGAAAATTATCCCCCGCTTCATTCTACACTAACGCCTACTCACTCTTCAGATCTCAGCTCAAATCTTACTTTTGCAAAAAAGTCTTCCCTGGACCCTCTCTCCATAATCTAAAATTTGGTCCTCTTTTGATAATCTCTTATAACTGGTGCTACTTACTTCGTATCAGATACCAATTTGTGATTATCCCTGTTGTTGTGTGACTGTGTTTAATTTTTGATCCCCTCCATCCCATAGATTATAAACTCCAAGAGAACAAGGACAAGTTGATTTTGCTGACCACACTACATACAAGCATTCATATACATATATATATATATATATACATATTTGAATGCAAGGAAAATACCTACAAAGCCCCTAACTGTATCTCTCATATCTTAAAATTATATCCATCACATCATTCAATCAGTATTTAAATTGCTAAATTCTTTTTGACACTGCCTACAAATTCTGTAACGATCCATTTTACCTGAAGGACATATGAGTTAAAATATGACTCTGCTGATGACTCTGCTGCTGCCATAGGAAAACACACACAAACTTACATTACTAGGAAGTAAGTTTTGTTTGAAAATTGTCCAATTTGCTGATGTTTTATTCATAGTCAACTAATTTATATGCCTTATTTTCTAAGACATGTAAAGCACTAGGGAAAATGTGCTTTGTAAAATATTCTTTAAGGAGTCTAATCTATTAACAGTCCTTGATAAAAATTTATTATAACAAAATCACGGATTAAAAAGTATTCAGAGTGGCTATCTACAGTATTCTGTAAGACACACATCTGGTGAAGAAAGAAAATATAAATCATATTGCAAATAAAAAATCCTTTTGGATCACAAAGGCTAAGAAAACCAACATTTATATACCACTTTATAAAGCACATAATTCATATCATTGAACTCTGTAGAGTAAATGGAGCAGGTATTATCACCATTTATAGAAAAGAAAACTGAGGCTTAGAGTGATTAAGTGTCCTCCCCAAGGTCACAGGACTTGAGGATAGTAGGCATAATGACGATGGGGGAGGGGCGGGGGCTCCCGCATGTAGGTTCTTAACCAAAGAGAACTTACATTATAAATGGCTGGTCTCTGTGCTCCGGCCACTAAAATTTCATTTCACCAAAGAACCACCACCAAAAAAAGCTGTACTAAAGTTAAAATTGCCACCAATCTGGGAAATGGCTAAATTACCTATGGTCTACCCAAACGATGGAACAGGAGGCAGTTCTTCAAAATGAGTTAACGCATTATATGCTAAAATGGAAAGATTACACTAAGTATTTGTTAAAACAAAGGTAACGCTAAGTACACACACACACCAAACGTAATAGTTGTTACCTCTGGAGACAGGGATTGGTAGTCAAAGACTTTAGCCATCTCTGTGATATTTTAGTTTTTGTATTCCTTTACTAATTTTAATTTTAAAATGTTTAATTAACCTGTGGGTTGAACCAGATCAATTTTTCTGCTCTAAAAAGGTACGCATCTATAAAATAGCTCCCCCCCTCCCCGCCCCCCAAAGTAGAAGACAAAAATATAGAAACAAAAACTGTTCGATCCGGTTAAAACAATAAACGATCACAAAACGTTCCTTTAAAAAAAAAAAAGCAATAGCTTCGAATTTTTTCCTTTCTAATATCTAGTCTTCTTTGTTGCAATAAGACCACCAATTAAAGCAAACTATCAACTAGAAGAGTACAGAGCAGGCTCCGCCTAGAGAGATTTAGTTGTTTTTTAAAAAGAGTTCGGAAAGGAGGGTTTTCACAAAGGAGCCGAGTTTTGAGGGAAATGAGAGGTGACTTGGCAGAGAGATGCGGGAAGATTAATCCAGATGGGGAAATGTCTGGGAGGTGGACATATTGAGTTAATCAGGAGCGCGGACAGGAAGAAAACTGAAGTCAAGTCCTGAAAGAGGAGAGGATTCCTTTGGATGTGGGAGTTGAGAGGGAGCTCGACTGCGCTGCCATCCAGTTTACCTGGGTGAGAATCCAGCCCTTGTTGTGGTCAAACAATGGAGGCGTCCGGCGGCAGCGGCGTTCTGCGCTGGGTGCACGGAGGGCGGCCTCATCACCTGAGTAGGATGCTCGGAGGGCTCGGCCGGGACGCGAGGCGCTCTGAAAAACACACCGCCACACCATGCAGCGAGGCTTCGCCGCCGCACCGCCCGGCTCCCCGCTCCCACGGCGCGGCCATTACCGCCTCTCCGGGGACCCGCCTGGAAAAGCTCCAAGGCGCGGCTTCACGGGCTTCTAGAGCTGATGTGCTCTCCCCCTTCCCTCGGCTGCAACAACAATGGAGCCCGGCTCGGGAGTCCGGCTCCCGCGGGGCCTCGCCCGGCCTCGCCCCTGCCGCTGCCCAGCCTGCGCCGCGCACCCGGCCGCCATCTGTGAGCCGCGCTCCCCCGCTCCCCGCTCCCGGGACCGCCGCGGGGCCAACGCCGGCTCGCCGAGGCCCGAGACCAGACTGCCCCTCGCGGGGTCGGCCCAGTGGCCGCCAGGCCGCGCGGAGCTGCTCTGACCTTCCCCACTGATGCCCAGGGGCCGGCGCCGGCTCGAGGCCCATCCTAAGTGATGGGTTGTTTTTCTTTTCTTGAACCCACTCATCCTCCTTCCCACCCCGAGCCCGCTCCCCTTCCCCCCGCGTCCCCGCCTCGGTCCAGGAAAGAAATAAAGAGACTGCAGCCGGGCCGCCCGAGAACTCACTCCAAGTAAGGGGTTGAAGCGCCCCAGGCCGCGGGCTCCACGCACCCACCCTCCCTCTCTCTCCTCAGGGGACACCTCACAGGTGCGCCTCCGAGCCGCGCGCGCGCGCTCCGCACACCCAGACGCCTCCGGGGGACAGCGCGCGTGCGCACGCACGAGGCCGGCGAGCCCCGGGGGAGCGGGGACCGCACGCATGCGCGCCGCCGGGCCCTCGCCCCTGCCCCCGCCTCTCAGCCACCCGCGCGCGCCCTCCCCCCAATCCCAGCCCGGTCCCAGGCACCCCTACCCCGCAGGCCCGGCGCGCGCGCTCCCGCTCGCCGGTCTCGCTCCTCCTTCTCCGCCCCGCCCGGGCCCGCGTTACCCAGGGCAACCGCAGTGCAGCCGCACCTGAGCTGTGCGCCTGCGTCCCATCCGCCAGACCCTCCCTCCCTTCGGTCGGTTCCCCTGCCCCGCCACAGCTGCGGGAGGGGGACTTAGCCCCCTCCCTGCGAAGTGAGTATCGATCAGCCTCTCCCGCCCCGCCCAGCAAATACAAACCCGCCGCCTCGCCGGCGCCTCAGCCGCCCGCCGGGTCAGTGCGTCCAGGCCTCTCCGCCCTGGCCCTCGCTCCCAGCGTGCACCGCGGCGAGCGCTCGGGTGGGAGCCGGCGAGATGCGCTCGGCTGGTGGCGCCCACTGACCTCCCTCGGCGGCCGGGCCGGGGCAGGGCCGGAGCCGGGAGCCAGCCCCGCCCGCCGCCCCGCCCATGGGCCGCTGACCCCGCTGCCGCCCGCCCGGAGGACCGCGCCGAGGGGGGGAGACGCCTGAAGGACCGCGACTGCTGCGCCCGCAGGTGAGGCGGGGCCCGAGGTGTGACCGAGTCCAGCCCCGCTCACCTGGCGGTACCTGCGGGGAGGCTCTGCGGGCGGCGGGCCGGTCACCTGTCGGGACAGGAATTCATTTACCTTATTTTTAAAGCCCTCACTGCAGGGAGAGGGTGTCCCCCGTCCCACCCCCAGGGCTCGGGGGTGGGGAAGGGTGTCCGCTTGCGGAAACAACTCGGGGGGAAAAAACGAAGTGCTGGGAAGGAGAGCAAAAGTGAGGCGCAGTGACCCTCGCGCCGGCTGCCTGCAGGGTCTTGCAGCCCGTTATGCGGAGGGGGATGCCCTTGCCAGGGCTCCAGTCCAGGCTGCGGACCGTCCGCACCGCGCACCCAAGCCAGCTGATGGAGCAGGAGAGGCCAGCCCAGGGGCTGCTCCTGCTAGCCCCGGGGTGGGATTCAGGGTTAGGGATCCGCATTGCAGGTGCACCAGGAGCGCCCGAGGGCCTGGCCCTGCTTTGTCTGGGATGCTGCGGGGAGGAGGCCGTCTGAATCCACATCGCCTTTTAAAATGCGTTTTACCACCCTGTAGACGTTAGAGACCTTCCCTGATAAGTTGCATTGTCTCCTACCCCGTTAACCCTTTACGTAAGTACTCTACCTTCCAGGCCTTTCCTGAAGCTTTGATAGGGGCTTTAGTTTACCCAAAATAACAATGTGCTTGTGATTCATGAACTTGAGCATAATGCAAATATGCAGCAGAGAGCTCCAGGCTTGGCTCCAGAGCTGCCGTGGGTTCCAGTGCGTTACTACTCTAGTTCATCTAACTTACGTTTTCATGCTGACCTGTATTGTTTAATTTCAAGCTTTGATGTTTAGCGGGATGATCTCTTCCGATAATGAAAATGAGGTGGGCCTCAGAGGAAATAAATTATGCTCTGTAATTTAGGTTGCAGTAACCGGTTTTATAACAAAATACAAGCTACCAGGCTGTAACTCTTTAATATGTTACGCATTTCCAGAAACCTACCTGTAAGAGTGTTAAAGCTAGAATTGCTGGGGTTTTTTTTTTAACTTTTAAGTTTAATATTTATTTAAAGAGCATTGCTATTGTTTTATTAAATGATTTTTTTTTGGCACAGTGAACTAACCTGCATTTTCTTGCCATTGAATTGCAAGGAAAAAGATGCTAACGTGTAAAGTGATTTTTACCTCCAGAGATGTTTTGAATTTATGTATTTCTTTTGGCGAAATATTTTTGTGAGATATTTTTGGAAGATTTTAAGGTTTTGTGATATATGTGTGTTTACATATACATATTTCTGAAAAACCTTAAAATAAAATAGTTTTTATTATTCCTGTGTATCATGTTATAATTACTCAGTAAATTTGTTTAGGTATATTTAAAATCGAAAGTACAGAACAATTTGTGTCAGATTTTTATGGTAGCGCATATAAATACATCAATCTAACAAACAGGTTTCTTAGAAATTAGATATTTTTACTGTTTAAAAAAATGAATCCTTTTACTTATAATAAAAGATCATTCGTTTGGGTTCTTAACTCCATCTGTTATTTGTTGGATAAATTCATTTTATCATTACCTAATTGGTGGAGTGCATTTGTAACAAAACTGAGGTTAATAACAGTGTTGGTGCTTTTAAGAAATAGTTTTTATATTATGAAGCATTTTCTTATATTTCTGGCAAGAAAAGGCATGGGCCTCTTTTCTTGTATCTGGAACAAGGTCAGCCATACAAAGTTCCAAATACATAGTGGGCACACATGTTTATTAACTAAGATTAATTTTATCTGCTGCATTGGATATCCTTAAAGGGCAGCCACTAGATGCCTTTCTGTGCTCCACACACCGAGGGTGCAGTAAATATTTGACTCAGATGGACATTCCAGACTAGTTAGGTAGCTGCTAGTAATGACACCAATTTTTACATCTCCAGCTTTGATGTTAAAACCTGCAGAAAGGTTTCAGCAGGGAAGTGAATGTGTCCTAATTGTCATCAAATACTTAGGGTCTGACTTGCAGCAAAGGGATTTTGTGTATTTAGAGTAATTTCCGAGTACTGAAGAGGATCGGTAGTGCTTCTAGGAAGACCGATTTCACTGGGACATAAAAGCAAAAGTTGCTTATGATGAGAGCCTTCAGCCGTGGGAAGAAGGTGCTGCTTTTCCCGTGTGGTTTCCACATAAGCTGGATCCCATCGATGGGATGGCTACTAGGCATCGCCCGGCGGCTGTGTTGAGGGCTTCTGAGGGGGGCGCCCTGGGGCTCCAGTGGACTGCACTGGAAGACGTTGTGGTTCTTTTTCATTTCTTACATGGCTTCTACAATTGTGGGCATAATGACATCCCTAGAAACTTCCTTCAGGCTTTCCCTGGGGAAAGGCCAGCGTGGTATCAGAGGCGACTCTAACCCCACTTTGCATTTGTATGGGGCTTTGCAGGTGATAAAGCATTCTCACAGTCAATGTTCCATTTACTACTACTCTTTTTAATGATAGCTGATTTGTATTTCTTCCTGTGGCTTTCATTTTCTGTAATAAACATTTAATCAAGAGGAAAAGTACCCTTTGCTATGAAGGCAAACAGGAATCTCTTTTTAAAACTCTTTGTAGAAATGGAATGATGTCAGTTATTCTTTTGACAGCAGGTTGTGAAGGTGAATAGATTTCTTTTTCTTAGCTTTTTGAAAGATACTGATTAAGGGCTGGTTCTTGTGCTCGCTCTGCATTTTAGTTTCCATTTATTTCATTACTCAAACATGACTCAAATTTCCCTGCAAAAAGCCCAGTCATATCCACCTACAGTAAGTCTCTTTGGACATTTTTTCAATATGTCTGCATGGTGTTTAAATATATGTTGGCAGCTGAAGGTAAAACAAAGCTGGGGAGAAGTAGAAGTACGGTGCACTGAAAAGATTAGTGAATTGGAGCTTTGTGTCTGAAGGAGAAAGAGATGTGTCCCATCGGTGCTAAGCCAATCTTGGGAATGATCATTTACCAATACGAATAATGATCCATCCGTTATAACAGAGGTTATTAGGCTACTGACTGTCAATCACAATACAGGTATTAAGTGGGTCAGTGGGGTTAGGACTGCGGGGCCCAGGAGCCGAGCAGTTCGCTGTGAACACTAGAGCACCCAGTAAACGCTTTCTGCACACGCTTTAAGGGGAGCATAATGGTCACGAGGCCAATTGCGTTAAACCCGCATCTGACCTCCCTGATTTAGGAAGACGTTAGAGGAAAAACACCAATTCTGAATGCACATACTTAATTTTTTAAAAAAAACTTTTAAAAATACTTCCTCTCTTTTGTTCTTTAGCAGATGAGTTTGTCTTGGGCTTTGTGTCTGTTGTCCACCAGCTGAATTTGGGTGTGATCACTTAAATGAGACAAAGATTCTCAGACTTAGTTTGAACAAGAATTACCCTGTTATTTATACTTTATGCATGAAGGGAAAAGATAAGAATATCAAGTTCTTCTGGCCAACCAAAAAAAAATAAAGAAAACCTTACAAGTACTTATTTCTTCAGGGGGGGAAAAAAATCATAGATGCTACTGTAACTATTCTGACCAGGACAACAAATTTTCAAGTAAGGCAGCCAGTTAGAAAGCAGCCTCTTTAGAGGTTAAAGGTTGCATTTTACAGCTCGTCACCACAATCTCTGAAGGCACTGCACAGACGTCTTAAAAGACTTCTTTGTTAATCAGAACACGAGTTTATATTTTTATGCACACGGGAGAGCAGACTAAGATTGATACTTTCGCGATTATTCCCAGTTTACCACTTTATCAGAAATAACTTCATGAAGCAAGAAGTGTCCACGCCTCTGTAGCTGTAAGGGAAGAGGCAGTAAGCTTCCTCCTTTTTTCTGAGATTCTTTCTACTGGCCAAATTCCTGTGACCGAGCAGAGAAATTCCATTGGTTAGCACAAAGAACAGGCTGAGATGCTTGACGCTTACAGTAAGGGAGAGAGAAAAGGCAGAAGAACACTTTTAACAAATGGTACTTCAGGCACATCATATTCTGCTGCTAGTTCTTCTCCTTGTTGCCTCTTTGGCAACACTTAAGATATTAAATCGAGATCTGCAGAAGGCTGGTTACTTTCCCTCTTCAGATTTCCACCCCAACCTGGTTCTGTGCACCCTGCGGCCTTCTTATTTACTGGGCAGGTGAGAGGCTTTATAAGGCATCCTCTTGAACCCGCTTTCTTACGTGACATTGCTTACTCATTGCTGCTACATATAAATTATAAGCCCCTGGGCGGGCCGAGTGGCTCAGTTGGTTAAGAGCTCGCTCAAGAGTTTGAGCTCTGAGCAACAGCGGTTCGAGTCCAGCCCGAGCTGAGCAGCCGCTGAGCTGCCAACAGGTAGCAGGATGGCTCAGCTAAAAAAAGGAGAGAAAAAAAAAAAAAGAACTTCATGCTAAATTATAAGCCCCAGTATTACAATCCTGCTTTCCTTAAAGTTGCACCTTGTACCTACAAATGAGTGTCATTATACTCTGCAAGGGCCAGCTTTGGAGAAACGTGGGTGTAAAAACACTGGTTCCCCAAGTTACAGTTCCATCACTGTCACAGCATAATAGTCCACGGTGGCCCTGTTTTTCTGTTAGCTTCCATCTGCTTTTCTGATGACGAACCAGTTAGGAAGTTAGGATCATGCCATGCCCCAAATGCTAAGGAGGCTCTTCAACCCGTCTCTCCACCTGTCACACGTATCAACCCAGGAGAAAGGCACTGGGTTATTTCTCCCTCAGCGGCTGGTGGCACATGGGAGCAGATCCAGGTTTTAGAAATACTTGTCTTGCCCATTGATAAGAAAATGAAGAAAGGTTTGTTGTTTTGGTGTTTGCTTTTGTGTTCCCACGGACAAGAATATAGCAGGGTTTCTAGGTGTGGCCCATCCTTCCCAAGGAGGGGCCAGCCTTTGTCTTCTATTGGGAAGCATCTTTATCTTTTGGTTCAGTCCTGGTGACCAGACCAGAAAGTTCCAGCGAAACACAGCAGCAC